GGGTTACGCGCCAGCGGTTTTTGCCACCACCGCAGCCGCTGTTGTTGTTGCTCGTGGTGTAGCAGTAGGTCTGCACGGGCACGCAGCAGGTCCTCACGGGGCAGCAGTACTGCGAGCAGCACGTCGGCGTCTTGCAGCAAGACTTCTGGCCGTAGCAGCACACGGTGTAGCTGTTCCCACCGCAGCAGTTATTACCACCAGAGCAGCATCCAGACATGATGTCTGTAGTGTAGGCAAAGCTGGAAGAAGCAGAGACAGTCTATCTGAGAACCAGGGCAGCATCCAGACATGATGTCTGTAGTGTAGGCAAAGCTGGAAGAAGCAGAGACAGTCTATCTGAGACTCTTGTTTGGACATGCAGAATTCATTCAAAGCTCTGTTTATGCTAAATTTAGAGATTCAAGGAATCAACACCCGATGCTATCTTGTTTCGTAGTAAATCATGCTCATAACACTTCACTCTGTCTTTTTCCCTGAAATGTAGGTGCCCATCTACTTGCACCACGGCATCCCGAACGTCTTAGCAAGAGCAACACAGCACAGTGCACATAGTCCTGGCTCTCTTCTGATGTGTTTTCAGTCCCTATCCTGCGTGGCCCCACTGATGCTCCCGTAGCCCTTCCAACCTTTAACATTTCTAGCTTGTCCCCATAATTCCTGGTACGCAGCTCATAAAAACCAAGCTCTAGCCGAAGTCCCAGTCCAGAAACACAGTTATATTTTAGATACTGCTATAATGTATCCATATCATTTTTCTTTTGTGAAAAGGAAAATTTAGATGTTCTCACTTACCCTATTGACCAGTGAGGACAGGTGAAGGGAAGCGAAGACGAGTGAATGAAGTGAGCTGGGCTGGGAGCCCTTTTATAGTCCCGAACGCCTTCCTCCTGGAAGTGAGACAGCCATTGACCATTGGAACTTCCCTGTTTATTCACCCAAACCCATACTTCTTAGCTTTACGTGTCTTCTGGTATTTACACTTTGCCTCATTATTTGTGATCACTACCTTTGTTTTACCTCATAATTATTTAGCCTGCAGATAATCAAAGGGCTTCTATGGATACTAATGACTTTGTCCTCTCTGCAACCTTACAAGGGAGCAAAAAATTGCATCCTTGTGTCTGTTGGAAAAACACAGATAGCGACAGCCAAAGATGTTAAGGGACTTACTCAGAGGTGGATGGTGCTGAATCAGTGTTAAGAGCCAAGGCTACAACCTGTGGACTGTGTCTTCGAGGCACATGACAGTTTATTTCACTGAACTGGTGTTTGAAATAAATATCTGGCAGATTTCATGAAAACAGGTATGCTTGTTCCTGGTCACAGGATATGCATGTGAGGATGGAGCAACAAAATCATGTGTTCAGGACCTGGTGGGAGTCCTGCTGGTTCCTGGGTCTCAGCCACCTGCAGGTGACTCTGGATCACCATCCCCTCCTGAGTGCTAAGAGCATCTTTGCGTTGCCCTTGGGTTTGTCTAGAGTTTTGCAGCTCCTGCAGCCTCAGTGATTTAGATTTGCGCGTGGGCACTACTAACACAGGCCAGACGAATGCCTCAGTTCTGCTTTGCTTTGCTGGGGCTGCTTTCCTAGGAACTTCCTTTTCTAAGCCGCTGAACTGAATTAGCCTCTCTTCAGAATCTTTTGCATTTTAGTTAAAAAGCCAAGGGGCAGCATTAGCTGTGCAAATCGCACTGCAAGCAGAAAGGGCGCTGGGGCCAGGTGTGAGGCCCTGCAAGTCGCGATGTCCCTCCCGCCCCCTCTCCTTGCATCCAGCTAAAATGCCACTGCATGCTGGAGCCCAGGTGCCCCTGGGACCATGCTGCTCCGGCTCCTGGGGCAGCACATCGCGGGCGTGTGGGGTTGGAGGCTGCTTAGGACTGTTTGGGGCTGTTGGGAGCAACAAATGAAGCAGCCCCACATGGACCAAGAAGGTGAGAAGAAGCTGAGGCAGGAAGAGCAGGAGAAGAGCTATGACAGGCGCAGGCAGAAAACTAGTCCTAGCTGGGGCCACGGAGCTAAGCGGGAGGCAGGAACACAGAAGTGATGCAGGGAGAGACATTGCTCAGCTGGAACCATTTTGCTGGAGGGGAGGAAGGTCAAGGTAAGGCAGGGCCTTGGGCAACTGAGCCAGGGTGAATGAATGCTTATTTAACGCCAGCCACTGCCTCTGATGCACTTTCCTGTGGGGCTGAATGGTGTCAAGAACACAGGGTATTTGGGAGGAATTTTTCCATGGCCTAAAATTGTGGCTCTTATTTGAAGACCTCGCATTACCCTGAGAGGAGTGCTGCCTAATGAGAGGATGGTGGATCCTGCCTGGCAAGTTCCCTGCCTGCTGCCTGACACCCTGCAGGATCCTGAAGCCAGCTGCACCCCTGTGAGCTGCTGCCAGCCCTGAAAGACACCAGCTGGGACTGTTTGCTTTCTGCATGCTGCGAGGGGGAGCAGGCTGAGGCTCCTTCCCTTGAATGCCTCATTTGCTCCTGCAGTAAATCCAATTAGCTCTTTTCCAGGCTTTCTTGGAAGGAGAATAATCCCTCAAGTAAAATGCTGAAGAAGCAAAATATGCCATCCAGAGAGAGTAGAACATTCATGGTATTTCCTTTCCAGCAGGTACCCTCTGAGGAGGCATACACTTGCCTGCCCATGAGAACTAATTAATTTGCAAGGAATTAATTGGGCAGCAGCAAAGGGGCACACTTTACTCCTGCCTGCAGAGGGACAGTTCTCATTTGCAAATCCTGCAATTGCAAGAAGAAATGATATAGGTGAGCACATCCTGTCCTTGATAGTGGTGTTTGGCTGTGCGTGTAACCTAGCACTCAAACGGTCTTTGGCAAGTGGGCTACAGATCCTAATGCAGAGCAGGGACTGAAAGGGGTTGCAACAGAGTCAGTAAAGGGCATTAGACACAGAAGGAGGACTGTGGTGCAGATCTCACATGCTATGCTTTGGTACAAACTCAAACCTGAGCTCTTACTGACCCAGTCACTCCTTGAAGATGGTGGAGGCTTCTCAGCATTTGTTCTAACACCTCAGCTCAAAATCTGGTAGCCCAGACATTTTAGCAGAGACAAGACCTCCTCCTGGTAAGTGTTAAACTATTTGTAGGGGCTCTCTATATGGTCTGAAGAAGACCCTTAGCTGATTGAAATCCACAGAGCTTTCCTAGTCATGATGTGCCTGTGTCAAAGCGTGCCAAAGTAATTCAAGTCCTTTACATATTTCTGTATTATTTTCTTCCTATTTCTTTGTAGTTTTACAGTGAAAGGAGAAATGCTGGTCACATAGATACCAGACACTAAGCTCATTTTTGAAGAGGCCCATAAATAAGCTTACAGCTGCACCAGGGATGCATTGATTTTCTTTGTGAAGCCAAACACCCTAGTTAACACTTCCTAGATGGGAGGATGTCCATCACCAGAAGAAAAAGGAATGAAAATGGTGATGCACTCTGGAAGCATAAGTTAACAAGCAAATAACCACCAAGAGTTTTGCAGTGTCATGAACTACAGATTTTATTGTTTTTCAGACAGATTGAAGCAAAAGAGTGATGAAAAGAATTAAACATCCCAGACACCAAAAGGAGAATCAACAGCAGGACTGATGCTTGCAAAGGAACATCTCGTGCTGCTCGGTGGGTAGCAGCTTCAGAAGCACATTACAGGCACTTGGTGGTGAAAGGCAGGCCAAGAAGAAGCAAGTCTACAGTCTCTAAGAAAGGAGGAAGTAGGGCCGTCTCCATATCCACATCCGATGCCGCGTGAGCCGACCGGGAAGCAGCAAGCAGGGCAGCAGCAGAGGGGGTGACCGCGGCCCTGCCTGCCCCGTGCCGAGCAGGATTAGCAGCAGCCGTTGTTGCCACCACAGCAGCCGCTGTTGTTGTTGCTCGTGGTGTAGCAGTAGGTCTGCACGGGCACGCAGCAGGTCCTCACGGGGCAGCAGTACTGCGAGCAGCACGTCGGCGTCTTGCAGCAAGACTTCTGGCCGTAGCAGCACACGGTGTAGTTGTTCCCTCCGCAGCAGTTATTACCACCAGAGCAGCATCCAGACATGATGTCTGTAGTGTAGGCAAAGCTGGAAGAAACAGAGGCAGTCCTTGTGATGGGGACTATACTTTTTCTCTATCTGAATTTCTGAGTAGTTTATGCAGATTGAAGCATGAGTATCCCTAAGTGCATCCCAAGCTGGCTTTTGGAAATCCTTGCTGTCCAGTGTCCCATGACAACCTGTTCCTGAGATCTCAATGTTTCAGCATTGCCCGCTACCGCATTTAGCATATTTTTCTAGCACCGGTTCTATCAGAAAGAAGCCACCCAGTTGTTTCAAAATCAGTCCCAAACCAGACACTATAGGAGATCATGGATGATGATATAGCACAGTGCAAAAGAAAAGGCAGGCAGTAAGCTCTGACTTACCCTGTTGACTAGTGAGAAGAAGTGAGGAGAAGTCCAGATGAGCGAATGAAGAGCACTGCGATGGGGAACCTTTTATATGCTTCAAAATCATCCTCCTGGAAATGAGACATTCTTTGGCAATTCCAACCATTTATCACCAGTTTTATGTCTCTTCCGGTATTTAATCTTTACCTCTTTCTATTTGCTCATCATCTCAGTGCTGCACCATAATTAGTTGTACACATAAACAGCAGGTGTGAATTTTCTAATGAATTTGCATTATGGGGAATGGGAGGCAGCTGTAAGGTATTCATATCCACTTCCTAAGGAATGACCTTGAGACACAGAGACGCTTAACAATTTGCCTAGGGGAGGCCGGTGCTGAAGCAGTAGGAGAACCATGGCTGGAACTTGGAAATGTCCCTGCTCACATGCCTCCTCTGTGTGTGGTTGGGATTTTGGGGGCAGGGGGAAATGGAAACTATTGGCAAATGCAAATCCTTTTTTCCTGCCTCTGAGAGGTGGTTGTGTGGCCAAAGCTAAGACTGAAGAAATTCTCCTTTCTCAGGCTTGGGTCTCCCACTGTGGTGCTTTGTCATCACATCCCTGCTATCTATTTCTTGTATGCTGTTAAGGTTTTTTTTCCCATTTTCATCCAGGGAAGGGGTGGATTGAGTCTCTACTAAGCAACTTTCCAAGCAGCAGTACACCGATTTCAGCTTTTCTCTGTATTGGGGACAAGGAAGGAACTGTGGCTATGGGCAGAGTCAGGCCTGGTCCATGTGAGAATAAGGTGGTGTTGATGGAGTTTTCATCTGAGGAGAGGGGGCATCAATGTAAGAAAAGAGTCTCAAGATACTGAGGTAGCATTTATTCATGCCAATTAAAGGTGTTGTCATGTTCAGCAGACTCTGAATATGAGGCTGGAATGATGGCAGGTGATCCATGGTGGCTGGGACACGTAGTTTCTTCCCAAGACATGACATATGGCCTCCTATGGCATTGGGTGTCTCTCCCGGAGTTGTCCCTGGGGGAGCATTGTTCCGGTCACACGATAATAGGCAGATACCTGCCTGCAGAAGGTAATGTTCTCTTTGTATAAACCATCAGACGTGCCACCTAATGAATAAGTCATTCGTCTCCTTTTTATCAGGCTTGATTATTAGAATATTGGTCAAGATGATCTCTGGGTAGAAATGCATGTGACCTCTGCAAGGCTGTTGCTAACCAGAGTCTTATGCTGATGCTGTGGAGACATTGGGATTTAATGTCCATCTGTGTCAGAAATAACATCTTATGCACTAAATTCCTGGACTAAATGCCATGTCTTTGTAAACTTCCACAGTGGTTATGTGAATCTGGGAATGGCAGTATTTTTCAAACTGGGAGGGATCTGTCATCCCTGCTCTTTCAGGATATGCTGAAATTTATATTCATAAGATTTTCTTAACAGAATATACTTCTGTTGTGGTATAGTATATGGTAAATTTCTGCCAGTGTGGTGATTATTAATGTATTTGCTTATTAATCAAGACTCCTAAAGACCTGAATAATCTTTTCATGAGAATCTAACGTGGTAGGAAAGATTATCTAAATTCAGACTTTGTACATGCTCTGAAGGGTAGTTTGAGGGAAGCCATCAAGAGAGTGCTCAAGGCATTTTCCGTAGACCTGCAATTCAGAACTGTGTCCTGAATTTTAATAGCAAAGTAAGTCCCAGCCACGTATAGAGGCTCTGTTGACTCATGCGTGGGCTATTTTAAGAATGGAGCTTTTAAGTTGTATTTTAGCATCTGGGTTTCATTCTGGCTCTTGTAAGCCAGGAGTGCTGCATGCATGGCATGAAAAGCTCTGCTGATATAAGAATATTAACCATTTATAGTGCTCTCTTAATTTTATTTTTGAAGATGGTAGTGCGAGAAGATGGTACCTGGGACTCAATGAATAGTGAATTCCTCTTTCAGTACATACTGAAATTCTCATTTCCAGTATCAGTGATGAGTTCCTATACATCCTGTGGAGTGGTGCATTTTCAGATGGTAGAACTATGCATGCTTCATTCGCACTATGTTCTTTGAGTTTTATTTAACATAAACATTTAGTTTTATAGTCAAAATTACGATGAGTCTCTGAGGCAGAGAGTGAGTAGCTGCAAAAAGGTACCACACTGTTCTGGTCCCTTTAGATATGACCTAATTTATGCCAATGGAAGGCATGGCTGAGCAGATCTTTATGTTTCCTGAATGCTCTGACATGATATGGGAGCACATCTGTAGTCATGAGCAGTCTGACAGAAAGCGGCACCTGAGTGAGAACATATTCTGTGCACAGGGTTGTAAAAACAACTACATGACAAGATATTTTGGGTTTTGCTTAAGAATAGGTTTTATTGTCTACCAGTCAAGAGAGAAAATGAAGAATGATCCCATCAACAGCAAACATGTCCCATGTCCCATACACCAAGAAGACATACTAATATATAGGATTTCTTTGCCTTACACAGTGGGTGATATGTTCAAGTGGACTACAGAAGTTCAATAATTAAAGAACAGAGAGAAAGAAGATAGCTTAATTTTCAAAACAAGAAGAAAATTGTTGGATATTTGTCCATCATCATGTGAACCATAAAGTAATGGCAGGTTGTCCTCTCCTTGTAGTGCCTGGTCTTGCTGCACTCCAGGGACAGCAGCTGGCAGAGCTGCTTTTGCTACCCTAAGCGAGGTCAGTAGCACTTTTTGACTGAGTAGCAGCACTGCTGTGTGGGTATGCAGTACTTTCTCATGGGAGAGCAGTAACACAGTGGGCTGCAACACACCACAACAGGCTTTTTCTTCACCACAGTTGAGCAGCAAGACACAGATCCACAGCAGCAGGAGATGCAGCCACAGCGGCTGCACGGCA